AGAGACCACTCCGTTAGTCGAAGATTAAACATGTGATATTTCAGTTTACATTGACCGGTATATATCATTGTGATTTTCTTAAGAAAGCTCCAATTGAGTTTAAGTAGATTTCTTCTCTGTGGATCGATTCTATCCAGGAACAATCTTAAATGAATTTGTTTTGTTTTTTCAAGCACCAGTATTTCTTGGCTTCAGCACCATATATCTCCTCAATTCTATTATTTATTAGACATATGCTAATGCCACAGATAGGTTCAGGAGTTATGAGAGTCGTTTGTGAGTGGGAGTCGTTAACAGCTTTAGAACTAGTTGTATAGTTGCCCAGTGCTCGTATTGCTGCTTTACTGTCGGTACGGCTGGAATATCGTTGCGTATTTGCCAAGTGATATAGACATTCCATCCTCTGGTTCATCCTTTCTCCAAAAGCCAGCACTAGAGCCGCAAGTCATTAGTGTTCCATCAATGTAACAATTAACCCCATTAATGGGTTTATGTTTCTCTGAACTGTCTATGTTTACATTATAATTCTTTGTTAGGAATTCTCTGATCTGAGTATCAGATTGTATTGCCAGCACCTTCCTCTTTCTTTGAAATATTTTCCAATGTTCCTCATGGGTATTTATTTTGAACATAACTTTAGTTTGTGTAGCCTATAGAAAGTTTTCAAGGCCTGTATCTTTATATCCAACTGCATAAGATATAAACCTAACATTACTTCCATAGCTGCAGTCAGGGTGGTTTTTATTGCACCTGTTATCATTAGACAGACTAATCTTTGTGGTTTTTCCAGTTGTATTCGGTTTTGACCCACTCTTCATTTTTCAATCTTTGAGACCAGATTGTGTAGCACCGCTTTGCATGATTTACCAGGTTGGTGGGCGAATTGATCTCAATGTAAAGGATTTGAAGTCAGTAATTGATCTCTTATATACCTGTCTAAAATCCTTTTTAACGTATTGTGCTGTTCCAGTAAGAGTTCTTGATATCACCAGTTAAAGATGAATTGCGGCATTCTAACTGCCATGTATTATTTATAACTTTTGGACAACATTTTCATGCCTCTTCTAAGTCTGAGAGATCTACATCCCTCTCTGTAGACTTTGGATTTCTGAACTCCTCAGAAGTAATAGTGTTATCAAATCTGGTATATTTATGGTCTGAGCATGTTTCTTCATCGGCCAGTTTACCACTCTTGACGTGACCTGGCTAGAGACCAGCATTATGTCTATGACTCTGATCTTAGTTTATTCAAGAAGTTAAGTTTTTTTCTCCTATTGAGTATGTATAAATTATCACTAATAATAAAGTCTAGCAACATCTCACCTCTGGGGTTGTTGTTGCTGCCCCATACGATATTGTGGGCATTGGCCTCAAGTCCCATCAGGGTGTCTTCATTAGTGGAATTAATGATCTTATCCAAGTCTTGCAAAGGATCTCCCGACTCATATGGCAGGTAACCCAAGACTATGGTTAGTGTCCTCTTGTCTCCTGGTGGAGTGTATCTGGCTACTGTCCAATCTATAGAACAAAGTTGCCAAAGAGGCAGTAATTTTAGTGAATTTTTTATAGAGAATACAGGCTCCGAGATTGGTGGCTACAGAAATAATTCCGTAGCCTGAGAATCACAATCCCATGATCCTGATATTAATTAAGTAAGGTTTTTGGATTAGAATATCAATTTTCTCACCTTTAATGTACTGAAAAAGCACTCCACATGCGCAATGGAGTGATGTAGATTTATTTGCAGCAGCCTTAGTTGGAGATTGGATTTAGATTGATATGTCAGGCAGATTCCTGAAAGGAGACCGTGGCAGATTTTCACCCTCAGACCCAGCTTTCACTAAGTCTTTGGGATCTTCCCCGCCTCCAGTTTCCTCCAGTGCCCAATGCCTAACAGTTCGTACACTATAAGTAGCAGGGAGTTAGTCTTCCAGCTGACACAGTGGCAGAATTTCACCAAAGAAGAAAACTTGTGCTTTCTTCTCTAGTTTCTTCCCTCCTCCTGGTCCACTTTTGGCCTTCTCTCACTTTATCATAATTGATCTTCCAGGAGTCAAGTTCTCAGTTGGCAAAGGTGGCTGGGATTCACCAAGAAATAGGACTTCCGCCCTTCTTTCTGGTTTCACCCTGCCTCCCTTCACCGCACTGTACCCAACTCCCTTCTGATTAGAAAGGTATCCGATATCCGGTAGGTCCTCAGAGCCACCGTTGTCAGGACCTTTTTCTTTTATTCCTTCCAGGACCTCATCCTGTGGAATTGAAGTATCTATTTACTGAGTTCTTTTAGAACTTTAAACATGACACGGCACCAACTGCAGCCGGCCTCCATACCATGGTTCCTAAAACTCTCTATAAGCTGGAGTTTGGGATTTTGAAGATGAAAAAAAGTTTCTTCCTTCCTCCTGCTCCACTTTTGGCTTTCTCTCACTTTATCATAATTGATCTTCCAGGAGTCAAGTTCTCAGTTGGCAAAGGTGGCTGGGATTCACCAAGAGATAGGACTTCTGCCCTCCTGTCTGGTTTCACCCTGCCTCCCTTCACCGCACTATACCCAACTCCCTTCTGATTAGAAAGGTATCCGATATCCGGTAGGTCCTCAGAGCCACCGTTGTCAGGATCTTTTTCTTTGATTCCTTCCAGGACCTCATCCTGTGGAATTGAAGTATCCTATTTACTGAGTTCTTTTAGAACTTTAAACATGACACGCCACCAACTGCAGCCGGCCTCCATGCCATGGTTCCTAAGACTCTCTATAAGCTGGAGCTTGGGATTTTGAAGATGAAAAAAGTTTCTTCATTCCTCCTGCTCCACTTTTGGCCTTCTCTCACTTTATCATAATTTATCTTCCAGGAGTCAAGTTCTTAGTTGGCGAAGGTGGCTGGGATTCACCAAGAAATAGGACTTCCGCCCTTCTTTCTGGTTTCACCCTGCCTCCCTTCACCGCACTATACCCAACTCCCTTCTGATTAGAAAGGTATCCGATATCTGGTAGGTCCTCAGAGCCACCGTTGTCAGGATCTTTTTCTTTGATTCCTTCCAGGACCTCATCTTGTGGAATTGAAGTATCCTATTTACTGAGTTCTTTTAGAACTTTAAACATGACACGGCACCAACTGCAGCCGGCCTCCATACCATGGTTCCTAAGACTCTCTATAAGCTGGAGTTTGGGATTTTGTAGATGAAAAAAAGTTTCTTCCTTCCTCCTGCTCCACTTTTGGCTTTCTCTCATTTTATCATAATTGATCTTCCAGGAGTCAAGTTCTTAGTTGGCAAAGGTGGCTGGGATTCACCAAGAGATAGGACTTCCGCCCTCCTGTCTGGTTTCACCCTGCCTCCCTTCACCGCACTATACCCAACTCCCTTCTGATTAGAAAGGTATCCGATATCCGGTAGGTCTTCAGAGCCACTGTTGTCAGGATCTTTTTCTTTGATTCCTTCCAGGACCTCATCCTGTGGAATTGAAGTATCCTATTTACTGAGTTCTTTTAGAACTTTAAACATGACACGCCACCAACTGCAGCTGGCCTCCATACCATGGTTCCTAAGACTCTCTATAAGCTGGAGTTTGGGATTTTGAAGTTGAAAAAAAATTCCTTGTACATTTCTTTAAGGTGGTGCAGATTCTAGTTATTGACTCCATTAATTGTAGTATTCTGCATCCTTAGCCTTTTCATTAATGCCTCCTCAATAAGTACTCTCCCCAGAAAGAAGGCACCTATCTTGGAGGTTCTGGTGAGTTCCTTAGCATCTCCCTTTTGAAGGGTAATAGCCTCTTCTAGGTTGATGCTCGGAATTATCTTTGCGAGCCAAGAACTTGTCTCGTTGTTCATGCAATATTTTAATATACTGCCATTCAGCCACAGCTCAAGCCTCCTCCACCTAGCTTGGGTGTGTAATAGGACCATCGCAACTATCATAAGGATAGAAGCGAATGGACCCCGCCTCTGTCGTTCGCGAGTCCCATCAGACTCCCCGGGGGGCACCAACATGGAGGTGACAGTAGGCGTTGGTAGGGATAAGGAGGTCTGGGAACTCGCATGCAGTGGATAGGGCACTTTAGCATGGTCTTTCCGCAAAGGGTGGGGGAGACTCCCGCATCCATCTCCCTCCCTAGACCTCCCATTACCCTACCCATTTGCTCCCCTTTTTATGTTGTTGCTTATATCAAATGGCCTAGATGAAAATTATACTTACTCAGTCCCTGATGCTATCAAAGGCTTTCTGCAACAATAGCTTTTACTAATAAATCCTTATTATTATTTATTTTATTACTATATTTTGTGTTTCAATTATCGATAACAACAAGAAAAAACAAAGATTAGTTTAATAAATAAAATAAACCCATAAATAATAAAAGAAATCCACCATTAAAGTTTCTTGTGAGATGGATTAAAAAAAAAAATCTTAACTGGTTTGTATGTAAATTTACTACTTATCTATTTTTTCAGCGATGTTCTATAATACTATAGTTAAATGTTTTTATTTCTATATTTATACATATTCCAAAAAGGAAAACTAAATAAGTTTTTTTGTGATTATATACATAAAACAATGAGTTAGATAGAATTAGGTAAGCCTCTATATTCCTATTTGCTGGATCTGGGTTAAAGTCTGGCTGTGGTAGATAATTATTTATTCTGTTAATCAGCCCTAGATTGATCCTAAGGTCGGTAGACCTTCTAAGGCTACACCTAGTCAATCTCTTTAAAGTGAGCACCCTTAATCGTGGGAAAAACCTGATAGTTGAGTGTGATCTTGTCCATATATTACTCAACTGTTGGCCTAAAATTAAGATTTAGTTTCTGAATACTGAATCCAAGACCCTTCATAGGTTGTAGAGGCACAATTAATTTGTGTTTTTATTATTTTTTTTTTACCGTCTAATTAGAATCAACTATTATATAAGTTGTAGAGATTAAAAATATTTTATGTTGTATAATTTATGAATCAGTTTATGGTTTATAAATGCATAATCTATATTGCTTTTGTTTTTATTTCAGAACAATGGAGCCCAACAATTAGCCTCTGAGGCTACTGTTTTCATAATGCTGGAAGATGTCAATGATGAAATCCCTTTGTTCACTGAGAGAGAACAGGAAACAGTTTTAGAAGGAGAACCGATCGGAACTAAAGTTACACAAGTGAATGCTATTGATAAAGATGGTACCTTTCCAAACAATCAGGTATATTATTTTTATTTATATACATTATTAAGTTTAGTATTAAATAAAATTAGAAAAATCAATAATTCTTATTTTTTAAATATTTTTAAATAATCATCATTTTAAATAATTATAATGATGATTTAGTAATTTTTTTTTATAATATAAAATCAAAAGAAAGTTCTTTAGTTTTTTAAATCTGTTTGACTAAAAAAAACTAAAACAATATTTTTTTTTTGTTTCCTTTAGGTGTATTACTTTATTGTGGATTCACCAAGAAACGAAGGAAAGGACTTTTTTGAAATCAATATGCAGACGGGAGAAGTTTTCACAAAGGTCGTATTCGATCGTGAGAAGCAGGGAGCATACGCGTTGGAAGTGGAAGCCAGGGATGGAGCACCATCTGCGAGACCCAACTCCGGCCAGGACCCAAATTCAGGTTAGTTAATTTTATAGATTTTATGGATTCTTTAATTAAGTTCTACATTTTAATGAGTCTTCTTCGATAGATGTTTGAAAATATTCAAATATCAAGTATTTATTTCATAAATAGCAGGCTAAATATTCCGTGGATTCATTGAGGATTAAAACTAAGTGATTAATTGTTTAGATTTTAGATTAATTTCATAAAATATTAATAAAATATATATATATATATATATATATATATATATATATATATATATCGTCCACTTTTATCAATTTTTTAAATCATAAAATTTGAAGAATTTTGAATTATTAAAACACAGGTTACAATAATGAATATGAACAATTAATTGGTATAATTTGATTTAATTTGGCAGAAATATAAAACTTTGAATTTTTATAATTTTATCCTTCATTATTTTCTTTTAAGATCAAAAAAGTTCCCTCAGATTTTTAATGTCTTCCGCTTATTGATACAGCGGTTCTTCAATTTTTAACAATAGAATGTAAATATCAATGAATGTAGTATTGATAATTATTTTTAATTTTTTGAAAAAGGAGAACAGGATTGTCATTGAATTTAAGTCTTAGATTTTAACTGTAACAATTAGATATTTGTATTTTACTTATCACCAAAAAATTAATTTACTAATATTAATAAATAGATGTTTTTTTGACAATTTAAAAAAACATTATAAAAAAATCAATTGAATTACTTTGGCTTAAAACAAAAAATAATAAATAGAATGGAAGAAAAGAAATATTGAATGAATTACCAGAAGTATTATCATATATTTATTGTTTACAAGTAGTGAAAAAATATTTAGACTGATTAACATAAAAAAAAATAATAAAATAAAAATTTAATTAATAATCTCTGAAACTTTCAAAACTAATTTACAAATTGTCTTTACAAATAAAATAAAATAATTAAAAATTGATTAGACTAATATTTCTGAGGTATATCAATATAAAAAATATCAGCCTAAAATATTGATATATTATGTTATTTTTTTAAATTATGTTATTTCGATACAGCTTTATTTTCCCAATATTTCCAGTAATTACATTAACTTTAACACACTATAATCTTTTTGCTCAATACAACTTATTTTTATATCTTTTATTCTCTCTTATACATATTCTCAGAATAAGGTGCCCATAAGAAATGAAACCAGAGCAATTAAAAGTAAGGATACCTAGTTTTCTACTATGAATTAGCTGAATGCATTCTATTAAGTCCGTCTTATGAGATGAATGTCATAATCCATATATGCAATAGGTTTTAACAATTAGATAGTTTAAGCGGCATAGTTTTAGTAAATACATCGTGAACATTTTATTAAGTTAATATAAACATGTTAGTAACTAGAAAATATTAGTTATTATTACTCTATCGAAATAAAAATTTAAACTAAAACTAATAAAATATTTCTTACTGTTAATTTCGTGAATGTTTCCTATGCTTGAATCTTTAAAAAAAAAAATAATAATAAAAAAAAAAAAATAAAAAAAAATAATAATAACGAAAATATCTAATACTCACTTTGTTCTCTGGAAATAGTGTTGTTTATCTCGTCAATTAAAAAATGGAAAAAAAGGGAACACTATTTGTCGTAATTCAATATGATTTAGATTTTGACTCGGGTCTATCATATTACACTACAAATTATTTGCTGTTATTCAATACTTTTAAAACTCTCTCTTGGGGACATGGTCGTCTCAGAAACAATTATAATTGAAATACTGTATATTTAGGTTGAATTTTATTTAGTGGTAGACCTGGAACTCTGATTTACAAGGAAGCAACCTGAATCTTTCAAAAAATACCAGTTTTTGAAGGGAGAAAATAAATAAATAAATAGAAGGGCATAAAGAGACAGGAAAAAACAATTTTTCTGTATGAATAATTTGCTTTCGAAGAATACTTATGAGATCTATTTAAAGCTACAATTTAAAGCTAAACAAAAATGCGTATACTATCCTCCAGCTTACTTTATTTTAATTCTTACTGTTAAGGAGAAATGTTAACTTATAATATAGGTTCTAAAACCAAATATTTAAAAATTAGATTTGACACTGCTTTAACTTAAGTTTTATTGATGATAATTATATAAAAATTAAATAATAATTGTTAATAATAATAGACGCAGTTTGTGTCTTTGCAAAATTAGTATTTAATATCATATATAGGTTTCAATAAGTAAGCTTCAATTTGTAAAACTTTGTTATGTTTGTGAGAACTAAAAAAGGAGCAGAGCTAGAGATTATCTGTGCAGAGTGTTAGTTATCAGAAATGGGGTCCTTACTAGACTCACATAAAATTATGGCATTCCCAACATGGCAAAAATAGGTTGATAATCAGTAAGATAACTTGCTGAAAAACATCAAACCAATAAATAAGCTGACAAATTATTTTCTATATTAGTTAAGTAATAATATGGCCAGTTGACACTATGATAATAAAAAAGAACGAAGATTGCCAAGGACCCTAGCGGGTAGAGGCATACAAACAAATAAATAAAAAAGAACAATTTTAGTAAAATATATTTACATCTAATTTGTCAATATAATTTTCACATATTTTTACCAAACTACCAAATGAACATAATTTACAAATATAATCTTGGTAATCAATTAGAAGTGAGGAAAGAAGTATAAAATTTCAGAATGTAGACAAAAAAAAAAAAAAAATAAAATAAACGAATCTCTTAGCTCAGCAAGAGCAGAAAGGGGAATTTTCTGGTTATAATAAACCAATAACCCAATCAGTAAAACCAACAGAGGGGCTTCATTAAGCTACAAAGGGGAAACCCAGTTTATTTTCCATCGACTTTTTATTCAAGACAGAGGAGAATCCCTGATCCAAAACCTCATCTGGGCACACAAAATAAACGAGCCTTGAAAATAAAATCCAAAATTCAATTTACACGACCTATAAAGCTCCAAGCTATAATGCTCATTTGATTACCTACAATAATAATAACTTTGTCAACCAGTAAAAAAGTAAGAAAAATAACTAGACCATATTAATAACTTCAGTAGGCGTAATCTAAAGTGTAAGAACATTTTTTTTTGTTTAACTATGAATGAAAATAAAATAACACATTCCTAGTTCTCCATAAGAATATAATATTGAAAAATTATAAAATGGCTAAACTTACCGAATAGTGAACAGTTTCAATTAAGTCCATGTCATAGGCAAAGAGAGTGGGGGGTGGGCGATAAAAATGTTGAGGTGGCTAGGATATCATTTCGCTCCCCATCCCCAATAATTTGAAGTGAAACAAAATTAAAATTGGTAACAAATAAGATAAATGAATGAATAAAATATGTAAATGAAAATCGATTAAGAAAAGCCAACTAGGCTAAGGCATATAACATATAACACTATTTTATCATAACCTAAATATTCTTATTATTTAAATTTTGATTTATATTCAGGGATGATTATATAGAAATATTTCTTAGTATTTTATAATTCATTCCCCTCTCCTGTGTACACCTCCATTTCCACAGATAAATTTTCTACGATAAATTTGGGGAAAAAAAAATTTAATAAGTATAAAAATATTTTATAGAGAATATTTTTATAGTCATTTTTATATAACTAGTTAGACTGTGGAATCATTGTATTGTTATTTTAAGATTATGGAAACTAGGAAATCAAAAGTATTTTTCAATTTTTTAACATTATTCATTTCGAGCCGGAAAAGTTATAGAAATGTACCCAAGTTATGGAGGCTGTCCGCTTCATCCATGTTTAATGTATACAAATTGTAGTATATCCAATTGTTTTATAGAATTACCAAAAACTATTTGTCATAATTGATGACTAACCCACCTTGTATCCTGCAAGTTTAGTGCATTAGAAATCAAACAAGAATCAGGCCAACATATTGGAATTACAGTTATTCTCTTCTTAGGGAATAATATTGTGCAAAGAAATTAATAGAAACAAAATAATAAGATTTATTGTTTTGTTTTTCATTAATTATTGACTAGAAAAATTATTTGAATTGGAACTTTTTACAAGTCAGTAAATACAGAGGATTTCCGGTAAGTAAAGGGATTTATTGCTACTTCTATCTGCATTAATTGGAAAATTGCCCCCAGCTCAGTTATTGAAATAACTTTTATTAAAGGAAAGAAGGAAGAAAATCTATAAAAGTTGGGCATCACGTCTTTTTATTTTAAAACTTTTTAAAACTGGAAATTTTCGAAAACAAATTAAAAAATCTAGTATGAAAACGAGATTATATAAAAAAATAAATAAATAAATAAACCTTATGGAATAGGAAAAATATTAGATAAATTTTAATGATTTATTGTCTGAAGTTCTTTATTTCAATTACCTTAAAATTATACTAAAATCCTCTTAAACTAAAGTGATAACTTCTTAACCTAATATATGTTTATAAAATATATATATATATATTGAATAAAACTAAAATGATCGTACTAAACAAAAAAAAAAACCTCAGCTGAGCTAAATTTTCAATGATGTCCTCAAAATCAAGTCCACTTACTAGTGTTGTATCTGTTCCTCTCAATCTTTTGTATCTGTTCCCAACAACTTTTCAAATTGAGGAGAATTCAAATTTGGCTGAGCTGGCCTGGACTCATATCACTCCTAATGCTCTGTGTGATGCTTGATTGTTTATACTGGAGTCTTATCTTTCTGCCTTGGACTAAAGGTTGGCTGATAAGCTTCTATTAGTCTTTAGAGGGATATTCCTGCATTGTAAACAACTTACTATCTACCTAATATATATCTATAAACATTATTTTTATTAATTTTATTGTTATAATATTTTTCCTATTTATTAAAAAAAATAAAAATAAAACATTTTAAAGAACTAATCACAAAAAGAAAAGATACTGTTAGAAAAAAAAAAAGTGTAACATTTAAATTGTAATATTTAAAGGGACGAAAACAAACAACAAGAACGACAAAAATGTAGATATAAACAATGGTCCAATTTTCCAAAAAAAATGTAGGAAATTTATGCTTTGTG